CCCTCAGCTCTTCAGCTCAAGGCTAGCGCTCTACCACTTGAGCCACAGTGCCACTTCTGGCTTTTTTCTTTTTGCTTATGTGGTGCTGAGGAATTGAAGCCAGGGCCCTCGAGCATACAAGGCAAGCGCTCTACCACTGAGCCACCTTCCCAGCCCCCTAAACTAGTACTTTCTGTAAATAGTTTATATAAAATGTACAATGTCATTAAGACTACACATTGCACAGTTCAGTCTTTTGCTGTTGACTCTCAAAGTGACTGATCACTTAAATTTGAGGCAAAGATGGCTATTTAAAGGTTCTTGGCCAAAAATAATTTTTTTTTTTTTGGTTGGTCATGGGGCTTGAACTCGGCCTGGGCACTGTCACTGAGCTCTTCAGCTCTACTACTTGAGCCACAGCACCATTTCCGGTTTTCTGAGTGGTATATTGGAGTTAATAGTCTCATGGACTTTTCCTGCCTGCGCTGGCTTTGAACCACGATCCTCAGATCTCAGCCTCCTGAGTAGTTAGGATTACAGGCGTGAGCCACTGGCGCCTGGCCAAAAGTAATTTTTTATCATTAGGTGCTAGCTTAGGCAAGAGGAAATGCAACAGGCCTTTAGTTTTCTAAAGTAGTCTCAGTAATTTTGGAGTACTTACCACAAGCACATGGGTAACACTTTCAGGTGGAATCATTTTTTTTTAATATTTAAATACAAAAAGTGAGCACTGACTTTTTTTTTTTTAAACATACAGACATCACACACACACACACACATAGGTCTAATAGCCAAAATGTAGAGAGGAAATGAGCTCCTGCTCTGTCCTCCACAGTCCCCATCATCCCTACTTATGGCTAAGGCTTCAGCAAGCCTTGCTCCTCTCCAACAGATCTCTGGTGGCTACTCTATACTACTACTTCAATGCATTTTGTCAGTTTTGTATTGTGTGCATGTTCATCCCTGACATCTCCATCTTAAAAAAAAAAAAAAGAAAAAAAAAAGAGCCAGGAGTGCTGCTTTCCCACTGGCCTTAGTTTCTACCCCACACTGGGTAGTGAGGAGAGCAATTTACTGAAAGGGATGAGAGCCAGTGCTGGAATAACCATCCACATGGCTGCACTATCAGAATGAGGACAGCGTGGAGGGCATAGTTGCAAGTTGGGAGTCTTTCCTTGAGACAATGAGGTCTGGAGAATTTTCCCCAACAGGTTTGGATAGATCATTGTGCCAAAATTTAAAAGAAGGAAAAAGAAATCCAAATAATCAGCAGTTCAAACACAACTGAATCTCAAAGTTCTCCCACCTAGACTTCTCAAATATAGCATAACAATCTAGATTTTTCCAGGAAGTGAAGGTAGGGCTCCTGGCATTCCTCCTGACAGCCCTGTGTTAGGCCCTAGAAGTATCTGGAAAAGAAAAAACGAGAGAGAGGAGTTAAGACACTGTACTGGTCTGTAAGTTTCATTTTCATACCTGATGGGGGTACACAAAAATTTACAACAAAGCAGAGCAGCTGGCCTCTAAGAGTCTGGGCCTAATTCCACTCCCAGCCACACCTATGTCCCATCTATGCGGGTATTAGAGACGTAACTTTTGTCTCCACTGCTGGGAAAAGCCCAGCAGAGCCTGGGCTCACCTGCCGCTGCTGCAGCTGCTGCTGTTGCTCCATTTGCAACTTTTCCGTCTCGAAGACAACAGGAAGAACCAGGATCATAAAGGAAGTGGTCCCAATCCACAAGGCTGCCCTGGAAAATCTGCAGAGGGGTACGGGGAGCCGGGAGAGACGGAAACAAAATCAGACCAAAACAAGACAGCCACGCCAGGAGGGAACCGATAACGGAATCTCCGGAGTACACACGCCAATGTCTTTGATCAGTATATTCTCAGCACTCCTTGGGCCACTCCTAACCAGAAACGGCGGGGGCAGCTCTGGGAGCCCGCGCGGTAGCAGTGCGCCAGTCTGCCGAGTTCTTACAAAGCGGCTCAGGCAGCGGTCATCTCAGATACGCTGAAATGACCTGGAATCTCCACTTTCGGAAGAGGAAATCGAAAGGTTACTACGATCAGCCCAAGGTCACTCAAGCCTGGGACTGCAGCTTCCAGAGCCCGTGGTCCTTCGGTCACCCGTGCACACGGCGACCTCGCCCTCGTCCCTTACCTGTACATTTTCTGAGCCACAAAGAGGGAGAGGTCAAAGGTGGCTCCGGCCGCGGACCGGATCCTCTCTGGGAACATCTCCGTCAGACCCCACAGTCTCTCCGCCAGGGTCTCGTCTAGCTGCGGTAGAGGAGGCGAGAGTCAGGGCCCAGGCGGCGGGATCCTCCCCGAGCGCCGCCGGGGGCCCCCGGGCCCCAGGG